AGCCGCAGCAGCTACCGCAACAGCAGCAACCGCAGCAGCAGCAGCAGCAGCAGCAGCAGACCCCTGGTGCAGCAGATGCTTCTTTGTCTGTGCCGTCATCTGGCTGCTCAGCAGCAGAGCATCTGTCTCCTGCAGCAAGCGATCCAGGGGGGCCCCCTGGGGGCCCCCATAGTAATGGGTTTGTTAGTTTCACTCTGTTTAATGAAGCAGCAACAAGAAAGACAGAAGAGCTTGAAAGCTTTTACTTTGTCTGCCGCAGCAACGCGCTGCAGCAGCAAAAGGAGACGATGGAAGAGTTAATTGCTGCTGCCAGACAAGAGGCCCATATGCAGCAAGTATGCTGCTCGTGCTGCTGCTTTCGTTGCTGCTGCTGCTGCTGTTGCTGCTGCTGCTGTTGCTGCTGCTGCTGTTGCTGTTGCTGCTTCCTTTGCGGCTTATGCTGTTTGCTGCTACCTGTGTTGCTGCTGCTGCTCTCATGCTCGCTGCTGTTTGTGTTCGCTGTACAGGAGGCGGAGGCCCTGCGGCAAGAGCAGCAGCAGCTGCTGCAGCAGCAGGAAGAGGCTGTAGCAGTTGAAGATTTTGCTGCTGCAGCAAACGCCGATGAGCGCCTGCAGCAGACTGCTGATGAGGTGAGTTTTGTCTCTTCTTTTGTTTTTGTCTGTCTCCTTTTTCATTTGATGCAGCAGGGGTAGACACCGACGACCTTGCTGTTGCTGCTGCTGCTGCTGCTGTTGCTGTTGCTGCTCTTGCTGCTCCTTCCGTTATTGTTCTTGCTGGTGCAGCTTTTGTGGCTGGCGCTTGCTGCTGCTGCTGCTGGTGTTTCTGTTGCTGCTGCTGCTGCTGCCTCGTCTCTGTCATCTCTGGTAGCGATTCTCGTTCTTTTGCTGTTGCTGCTGTTGTTGCTACTGCTGCTCCTGCTGCAGCTGAGTTCTCTTCAGCTGCGGTCTCTTCACCTGAAGCAGCAGCAGCAGCAGCTGCTGCAGCAGCTTGCAGGCATCACAGATGATTTACTGCAGCAGCTGGTGCAGCTGCAGCAGCAGGCAGCTGACGAACGGGAGACACTTGAGCAGCAGCTGCAGCAGCAGCTGCAGCAGCAAACAGATATGCAGCGCCGGCTACGTGCTGAGACAGAGGAGGTAACAGCAGCAGCAGCAACAGCAGCAACAGCAACAACAGCAGCAGCATTAGAAATGTACTTGCACAGCTGCAACTGCTTGGCTGTTTTTTATTTCTGCTTGCTGCTGTGCTGCTACTGCTGCTGCATGTGCTGTTGCAGCGGCTGCAGCAGCTTGAACAAGACACCGCTGCTTTACAAGCAGCAGCAGAAGAAGCTGAAGCAGCAGCAGCAGCAGCAGCAGAGCGCATGAAGAAGACCCAGAGCGAGGAAGCGGAGGCATTGGTAGAGCTGCAGCAGCAACGCTTGTGAGCATCATTCAGACTGCAGCAACTGCTGCTGCAGCTGCTGCTGCTGTTTGCTGCAGTGTTATTGTTACCGTTATTGTTGCTGTTGCTGCTGCTGCGCTGTTGTTGCTGCTGCTGCTGATGTCATTGCTGTTGCTTTTCTTCGCCCGAAAATGCTGCTGTTGCTGCTACTCGTACAACTGCTGCAGCCTTGCTGCTGCTGGTATTGCTGCAGTTGGTGCTGCTGCTGCAGCCTTGCTGCTGCTGGTGGTGCTGCATTTGCTGCTGCTGCTGCAGTTGCTGCTGCTGCTGCTGCAGTTACCCTATTCTTTTTTCTCTTTATGTTTGTTAGGGCTCTGGAGAAGCAGCTTGAGGAGACGAAGCAGCAGCTGCTGCTGCTGGACCAAACAGAAGCAGCAGAAAGAGAGAGACTGCAGCGGTATGCAGCACTTTGCTGCACTTTCTTTGCTTTCTTTCTTTGTCTCTGTTTCCTTTGTATAGGTCTTTGCTTCTTTATTTATTTATTTATTTATTTGTTTGTTTATTTATTTGTTTATTTGTTTATCTATCTATTTGCTTGCGTATTTGTTTATTTATTCATTTTGTTTGTCTATTTGTTTATTTGTTTATCTGTTTATTTATTTATTTTGTTTATTTATTTATTTTGTTTGTTTATTTTTTTGTTTGTTTGTTTGTTTATTTGTTTATTTGTTTATTTATTTGTTTATTCGTCTTTTGTTTATTTGTTTGATTTTATTTGTTTTCTTTTCATATTCAACGAAGTATGTCTGCTGCAGGCGCCCTTTGCTTCCTATCTATTCTGCTGTAGCTGCTGCTGCTGTTGCTGCTGCTTCTGCTGCTGGTTCTGCTGCTGTTAAAGCTGCATTTGTTGCTGTTTCTGTTGCTGTTGCTGCTGCAGAGCGTCGGCTGAAGCAGCAGCAGAAGAGTTGAGGGCGCGGCAGCAGCAAATGCAGCTGCAGCAGCAGCAGGAGCAGACATCTCTGGAGATGCAGCAGGTAAAACAGCACACCACAACAGCAGCAGCAGCAGCAGCAGCAGCAGCCCCAGCACCGGCAGCAGCAGCAGCAGCAGCAGAAGCAACATCAACATTATAATGGGGCTTTGTGTTGTCTGCATGCAGCTTAACAGCAAACTGCAGCGGCTGGAAGAAGACGAAGAAATTTGCAGCAAAACGCAAGAGGAGTTCGTTTTGTGTTTTGTGTATTTGTTTGTTTTGTTTGTTTTGTTTGTCTTCGCTTTATCTGTCTCTCTCTCTGTCTCTCTCTCTGTCTATCTATCTGTCTATCTATCTATCTATATATATATATATATATATATATATATATATATATATA